TGTAGAGATTTTTTAAATCATATTTGTATGAAATAAACATATTATATTATAATTTAATACTTACTTATTTATTTTAATTTCAATTTTGTCATACATTTAAATAAATTTGATCAATTGTCAYATGTTTCCAATTAAATATTATGATTGCATATTACATGTGACTGAATACTATTATACAGATTACAGAGTAATTCACCAAGAATGCTCACCCCTTTTTTTTGTTTAATGATGAAGGTATTTAAAATCGGGTTATTACAATCTTTAAATATACACGAAGACCATATTTTTTTTATCACTTTATGAGTGTCCTGTGGCGATACAAACTTTTGTTTTTAAAATAAAAACCCCCTTTTTTACTGTAAATTATTAACCGTGAGAATATCGATGAATCAAAATCAAAATGAGTAGTTTCCTAGTTATTAAAATGTTTGTACTAAGGATAATTATCGTTCTTAAACAATCGTTTTACAAAAGTATAATATACACATACTATTGGAAGTAGTATTTATGATACTTAGGACGTTTTTACAAATTATTCATGTTGATAGATTAATATTAATGACCAATATTTTCAAATGAATTTGAATTCAATGCATCAAGATTCTCAAAAAAACATATTCGCTTAATAATTTACAGTAAAAAATTGGGGTTCTAATTTGAAAAACAAAAGTTTAGTTTGCCACAGAACACTCAAAATTTTTTAAGGATTTTAAGATATGGTCTTTGAGTCTTTAAGTAAATTTCACTGTTATGAATTTATTGTATTAAATTATTAAAATAACATAATATAAAATTATTTCATAATTATTTTTATCTGTTTATGGTCACACTGCATYGTGTACGTTTGCGCCTCAAATTAATTTAACATGGCTATCTCTTTATTCTTATTACTCTGTGGCCTTAATGCCTTATTAGTCATTACCACTTAATACTTGTTACTAATATTTTGTGAAATATCAGTATAATATTATGTTATACCAAGAAATTTAATATTTATATGAAGTACATAAGTATAATATACATAAATATATCAACAATACTTTTATAAAACTAAAAGAAAAACATTTTAATTTTCATATTTTGACAAGTTGAATAACTTTTACCGACATATAWAACAATTATTCTGTTAGCTGTTTATATTTTTAACACATTGTATAAAAACAGTGTATTTGAAGTATGTTATTTTTTACGTGAGTTTTGTTCTTAAAAATTGCAATGCAAATACATTTTTCCAAAATATGTTAAATGAAATGTAGAAAAAATAAACTKAACGCTTGATTGGTAGATAAAATTATACATTAATATAGTAGTAGAACTAAGTAAAAATTTTGTWAGTAATTATTATTATAGTAGGTATTAGATATATTGTGTTCAAACTACTTATTCAACACAAGCTAGATAAATGTATACATTTATGTAAAACGTTGCTCTCTGAAAGTTTCGGTCATTTGCTAAATCAATTTAAACTTGTTTGATATTATTTACTTGTCATTATTATCTAATAAACTTCTTACAAATTACTTTTAACCAWGTTCTCTTTTATAGTAGGACAAATTTGTACAATAAATCACGGGGGTATAATATTATAAAACATAAGTGGTAGAAACAATAATGTGCATAACATTATGAGAGTATACTAGTTACATGTTCAAACAAATAGTTACTGAAAGTTTGTATACTTTTTCAGAAACAGTACCTCGACAGTTGATATACGGTGTGTAGGTACATCATCTGTAGCGTGTGCAAATGACCAAACAATATCTATGTCGGTATAATATGTATAGTGTCGARTGTTCAAGCAACTGTAAGATAATCAAAAAAGGAATAGGAATGATTCAGACGAAATAAAGTAGGCAACGTATTCTGTACATTGTTATTTAAGTCAAAAAAGCTTCAATAGAAGCTACAATGAGTCACTAACAAAATGAGTAACTATGTATAATCCATATTTAATTATAAAGAAAATACTCTCACGAGCAATACAATTATTGTAACAACAAAATAGCGACTAAATAAGTCAACAAGTATGATATTATTGATAATATTTTGATTTTTCGGATCAACTTAATAGATACCAAAATAAATTAATTTATGTAGCTTACAGTAGAGTTTAAAATAATAAATGTTAATGAGTTGTCAAAATATTGCTATAGTAATAACAAATGATTATTGGGGAATGTTGGTGTTAGGCGTGTGTATTAGTTGCGTTAACATAATAATATTATTGGACCCAAAACATAGACCTAACAATTTGGAGAAAAAAAATTAACGTAATAAACACTCGCCTTTCGTTTCTAATAAAAAAAAAATATATATATTAATATAAATTAATGAGATCTGTGATTATTTACCGCTTAACGCTAATATTACAAAAGAAAAACAAATTAATTTAACAAACCAAATTGGGTACAGAAATTTGCAGATCTATGTGTTAAGTATGAATCAGATTTTTTTCAATGTACAAAATGTTGAACCGATTTCATGTTGGTGACACTAAAGATCATATTATGTTAGTTTATTGTTGATAGCCTGAAAAAAAATATAATGAATAACACTAAGTAATTTATTTTTATTATACTGTATTATTTATAATAATAGCTATATTAAACATAATTTTACCAGTGACGTAACAATAGCATTACGCTACTTGGGAATGAACAATGAAATAACTAAGAATCACCTACAACTCTTCCCCTCCCACCAAAAAAAAAAAAAAAAAAAAAAAAAAAACAAATTTTGAATAATTCAAACGATTGCGTCTAATATAAATATAATACAATCACTATTCCATGGTCAGTTTTACTAAAAAAAAAGAGCACATAAAAGTGTTTTCAATACGAGAGGCGTGAACCTTTTTGGGAATCTATGTTTTGAATTAACTATATAATAGCAGGAAAGTGGCGAGGGGAATCAGAATGAATAGGTTGGGCTGATGACCTCTGTGCCGTGCTTTAAACGTCCTAAATGTTTTTTATTAGTGTTGTTATCATAATAAATAGACAATTAAAAAATAATAAATTTAATACTTCAATAAACAACGCAAAATCGGCCGATTAGTTATTTAAACAATTGAGAAATAAAAGGTATTTTTTAATGTCACTCTTGCGCTTCAAAAAATCGTAATAAGTAGAAATTATTTGAAATTCGAATGGTTGAATAAAATGAAATTCAATGATTGGCCGATGTATGCATACTCACATTTAAATTCTAATACACCCACGCTACAGGTACCCATTGCGGTGTTGTGTGCACTCGTTCCATTACCCTTTCCAACTCGTCAATGGTTTCTTCGATGTCTTCGTTAACGATAGTGATGTCGAACAAATGTTCATACGCCCGCTGTAATAGTTCGGATTCGTTGGCGAGTTTTTCTAAACTTCCGTCGAACTGAAACGCAAATATTTATATTATTATTATACTATAGTATATACCTACCTATATTAAGCGATAATATAATTTTGGGATTGGTTCTTAAGCTTATAGAAATTCGAAGACATCGATTTTCATTGAAAATTAAATAMCCGAGATTCGTTCGAACTCAAACATTTCGAACAGTTAGAAAAGGTCRAGTTCGATATTTATACTATAACATAAATATAATTTGTAGTTTATAAAATATAAATATCTATAYCACTATAGAATACTATTTTTATTCACTTATGCTTACTATTACTCACCCTTATACCACCTTGATCGGTTTTTAATTAAATTTAAATTTTTAAGTTCAACATTTTTGAGTAAAAATTAACTCAAGTTAGCGAAAATTCAAAAATCCAACCCACTACAATATACGAATGTCAATGATTAGATCGAAAGTCAATAGTAATTATTATACGTGTTCGACCGTATACAAAGTTCTCTGAGCTACGTGTTAAGGAGATGAGTAGACCGAAAAAGGCTGGCTAGTTTGGTAAAAATATAAGGAAGGCATTCAATTGTTTTATAACCGAACATTTTCATCAATAATTTACGTCAGCGATTTTTAGAATCAATTCCATTTCACGACTTTTTCTCGCCATCGTTAGCAGGTACCTATAATCTATTGGGTTACAAATTTACAATATGGATTGCCCTGCACTCAACGGACAGTCCAGTCGATGGGTGGGTCACACAATAATTATAATATCTAGGGGGCACCCCTATATGGTTCGACGTGGCTCTACAATTTGTAAATGGCATGTATAAATTTCACTTTTCACTCACGTCGGTAAGCGATCGGTGCGGCGGAGCAGCGATAAACACGACCAGCGGCGCGAACTCAGCCGTCCGCAATATTTTCAGCGCCTGCGGCTCGACGTCCAAAATGGCGATTTTGCCCTCGTGGTGAATCTTCCTTATCGTGTCCAGCTTCGTACCGTACATGGCGTCGTCGTGGGTGCCTACTTAACAGTTCATGTTATCCACTCGTAGGAAAAACATACTATTATTGATTAAAAACATAACTCCGGACAATATTTCACGTGGACATCTACGATAACGCGTTTATAGCTTACGGTGATGTTTTAATTAAAACAAAGTCGCGAATCTGGAGGTCTCGAAAATATCAAAATGTTCGTTTTCGAAATCGTTAGATACACGATAACAATAAGCGTATACTTCATATGCCATAATTCTATATATACATTGTCCGGGAGCTAATACGTGCATACATGATATATAATATCATGTCATATAATAAGGATATATGTCTAACTTACCATATTCTAAGTACTCGTGTGCATTTATGTCGGTCATCATTTCGTCATAAGTAACGAAATAGTAGGCTATCCCACTCTCTTCACCAGGTTTCAACGGTCTCGTGGTATCTAAGCCGTAAAGAATTATTAGTCACATTAAATAACATACAAACATTTCATAATATTAGCAATATACAGGGTGATTCTTCTAAGTGGGTACTCTAATGATCTCGAAAAGTATTAACTTTTTTCAAAATATTTTTTTACATGGTTTCAAAATGTTAAAAAACCAACGTTTTTATTAAAAAATTATATATTTTAAACATTTTTTAAGTTTTTTACTTGCCCGTACCACTCCACTCTGCCAATCTAAACTTTAAATACTTTTTTTTTTTATTAAAGTAGAAAAAAGAAAAATATACAATCTGTATAACATAAATACAATAAGTAATTTGGATAACAATTTTTACCAGACTGGACGGCTTGAGGGAAGGGAGAGTCCTCCATTGACACTATTTCCAATATGAACTACTTTAAATACTTATAACTCAAAAACTACTAGTCCTAAATTCGATTTTTATGAATCAAAATACTTAGAAAAATATTCTGCTYTGGAATATGAAATTAAAACTCTATGTTGTCATTCAAAAAAGTAAAAAACTTAAAAAAATTATAAGGATAAAAAATATTTAAAAATATAATTTTTTAATAAACACGTTGGTTTTTTAAAAACTTGAAACCACGTAAAAAAATATTTTGAAAAAAAGTAAATACTTCTCGAGATAATTAGTGTACCCACTTAAAAGAATCACCCTGTATTTCTCGTTATTAACACCCTATGTACCAGTAACCACCCCTTCTCCCCCGTGATCTACCCAGTCGACTTACGAGCCATTGGATAAGCATATTTGTCTGGATGTTTTTGAATGATCGTGTTTTTTATATGCCTTCGGCCGACACCGTGCGCGCCAAGAAGGACTAACGTTTTGCGTTGGAATGCTGAAATACAGAAATCAGTTATAGTGCACCTTACATAAGTGTCATTAAATYGTAAAAGCATGTCACTCGAATAAAATAATAACACTTACATGGTAGTTTGACTACTTCTTCGTATGTGGCCAAGTCGATATGATCAAATACCGCATTGTGTTTAGCGAGATATTTTTCTTTTAATTTTTTCTTACGACCGAATATTGAGCAATTAACTACAACAAAAATCAAATAATTCTTAAAACATTGACAGATTATACTTCTTATCCCAATTATGTTAAATAATCGATAATAGGTACAAAAAAAATGAGCATAGGTACCTTTAAAAAATATATCTATTACATGATAATGCGTTAACACTTTAACAGTAATATAACATATTGCTAGAAACAATCGCTCTAAAATACATCGTACATTATAATTAGTATTTAAAAAGCAAAATCAATTAAATTACGAGAAGCAAAAACCTTACCGGTGGTACCGTCACACCCTTCGTGCGACGAGCAACTGGATTCTTTTGATACGGCAAAGTTATAAAATAGAAACACACAAGCAACACATATTTTAGGAACACACAAAAAAAACCAAGTCACACGAAAAACCATGAGAACCATAGATAACAATTTGTATTGTAATCATTTACCTTGTTCGTGTTTGGAATTTTCTAGAGCTTTACAGGTGATGCGCCACTCTTGGAGTTCTGGCGATGGTATTAGGCCAGCTGAACCGGCAGAATTGTCTTTTCGAGCTTGCCACCAATGGTGGTCGTCTTTACTGATTATCTRAAAAAAAAAAAAAATGTCAGATAAAAATTTAATAATGGAATTTTGTCGGTCCATCGATCAGCGTAACTTTAACGACTTACATACCTGCAATATGTCACCGATATTGAACGTTATGCCAGCCTGTGCGCATGGTATTAAGTCGTCTTGAAGCGGGTCATAACTGAACTGAGCACGGACGAATATCTATGGAAAACATATCGATACGGAAAGAGTGGTTGGATAAATAAATAAATAATTATGTTTTATTAATTAAATCAAAAATAGTTGGTTTTATTATAAATATATAACTATAATAATAGATAATTGAAAGACATATTTTAAATAATAATCAATACATTTATAACTATTTTAGAATACAGATAAACTTAATTTGCTTTGTGTTAAAATTATAAAATATATTGATGACGTTTTAATAATAATAATAATAAATAAAAATGTTTATTTTACTACCTACTGTATTGTTAACAAAGTCTACGATTAAATGAAATTGTATAAATAAAATATATTCTATGATTAATGAAAACAATTACTCAACGACTAAATACGTAATTTAAATTAAAAAATCTAGTTAGAAAATATCTAATTCGGATTTTGATTTATACTAAGAGTAATCACTGAAACTATTACTCGGGGAAAGCAAAATAAATAAATATTTAAAAAAAGTGACCAAATATAAGAAACTCGGTTATAAATACGACTGTCATAAGAAATGGTTTGGTTTTGAAATAAATGGAATTAACTACGTAATACATTGACGTTTGAATAATAATGCAATGAAACTAATAGAGAATAATATAAGCAAATACTCGACGATATAACATCTTCATAAATTCTAACAAGATGATAAAATGTGTATATAGGTACTTACAATGACAGGTAATGGCTTTATCCTGAACAACTACGTGTGAGCAATAGTTAAAAATAAGATAAAATAATATCAAAATATATGGAAACAAGTTAATTTTAATAAGTTACACAAACTGTAAACACAGTGTGTTTGATATTAAAAGTTCTATTTCTGACGTAGGCCAAATTTTAAAAGAAAAATTATTTATGAATATATAAGACATTTTTTAAATTTATACAACATATAATATTTGATAATAATGATGATAGTAATGGTATAATATGTAGTAAAAAAAAAAATGTATCGATTGAATGTCTTCCGTGTACAGATGACATTAATCGATGGATGGATGATTTTTTAATTTGGCCAACACCGGATAGAGTACACTTGGGCTTACTTGTACCTCGCACGGTGGTGGTGCACTTCTGTAGGACGGCACTATCTTAAAAGTGACGGATCCTCTCGCTTCTCTCTAAACAAATGAAACATAAAAATGTCTGAATACAATTTTGCAATAAATTAGTGAGGTAAATATAGAAGAATACGGAGTGTGCGGACGTTGGTAGAGTCCCGTGTGCATACCTTAGGATTTTTTAGTTTGTTTAATTCAATGAAAACTTTAAGGGGGAAAATCAGACTTTTATAGCTGATACCTTCGTAGCGTATATATTATATATACTATATTATAATATGTCATCGGTGAGAATGTTATTTAGCGTTTTATATAGACGTTACTTAATTACACGACCCCACGATTATGAAAGGTCACCTCCATCATAGTATACAAACAATGGCTTTAAAACAATGAGTAGTTTTTTTCACGACCTATAGGTATACTTTTTAATTAATTAAATACTGCMCCCCCGCCTCTGTAGGTACGCGCACTCCGACATTCGAGTACTTTATTCCCATATATGGGCGCACGAGAGTGTCACATTAAATCATGCTGTTACACATTTTACCCCTATGAAACAATGAATAATAATAATGCTAAAAAATAAATTTAGGTATACTCCATTATCAAGTCGTGTGAACCTTTTTATGGGACTAGGAGGGGGGAGAGAGAGACATACTTAGGCACCTAGTAAGGAAAAATCCAATTCTTGCTTGGACACGAGGGAGACTTTTACCCAAATATTTAGGGAACAAGCAAACAATTTTACTTACCAAAAGCTTCTGAAGCGCTCCCACAGACTGGTTAGCAACCGATATACCGTTGATTTCTCGGATTTCGTCTCCTACATGCAGAGTGGCTTGACGATGGATCATACCGCCGTGCATTATGCGCGCTACCACACATTTACCGTCTTCGTTCATCTTCAAAGTTATACCCTAAAAACGAAATTCTCGTGTTTATTTTTTGATAGCATTATGTATTTGTACTACACAATAACTTTACCACCAATTTGGCCAACACAAAAATAAATATTTTTGAATTAAAGTTACTAAGCATACCTATATATGTATTATATAGTTCATATCTGTAGATTATTGGTGTGAGATTGGGCAATTCGGAAACATTTAGATTAGGTATTTGAAAAAATGTCATTATAATGCTTGATTATATTACTTGTGATAAAACGGCCAATGTCTCTGATGCAGTACGAATATTTTGAAACTAATCGATAGAAGTTGACTAATGTACACCACGGGCCTCTCTTGACATATGTCACGTTTATAACCATGACATAATGTGCCATTTTGAAACCACTCAATACAATATACAGTTACTTTATGTATAATTCAATATTATCAGGAAATATTAAGTTTTAATAAAAAGTTAAATTGTTTAAGTTGAGTGATTAAAACAGTGTTAAGTTTGTATATAAATCAGGCGAATATCAGACTTTAATAAGTAACATTTAGAGACCCATATCGAGAGGCCTGATGTGAAAATAAACTACATTTTCTGATTTTCCAAAACACAAGTGTTCCATCCTAGAATGTTTCTATAAATTTTTTTTTTTCATTGAATTTATTCATTAATTTATTTACCTTTCTTGAGATAAGTCACATTATTATATAATATATTATTGTACACTTAGGTAAAATTATAAACGAAAATCACATACCATTGGCTCATCGGTATTTTTTTGAAACTGTACAAGTCTGACCCGCGTAACGTTCTCGGGTTCGATGTCGTCGTCCAGACCGTTCTCGCCGTCATCAATGCCATTGCCGTTCAGATACGGCAACACCAACGGCGGCGTCACACGGACAGCTTCTTCGCCGAATATCTCGTGAGCCGCTACGTCATGGGTTTGCATTAACGACTGTAACATTATATTAATCATAATGTAATTTTTTTGTTTTTAAGTTTGCGGCAACTATGGCCATTGGACTATAATGTAAATTATAAAACTATTAACATTTCCCGATGTTTTAGTTAAAATTGGGGTCATATTTTAGTGAAGTGGTGTACGTATATTCTGGAATTGGGAACCTCAAAAATTATGTTGAATAAATATTAAATAACAACTATATAATAAGTAATAACAATATACAATAAATCTCAATGCGTTTACATTATTCCACAAAGACAATACAATGCACAGGACACATTACTAGGGAATTAAGGTTCATTTAATTGGACCTATGCCACGTTAACAACTTTATATGTAATCGAGTTTAAAACTACAAATTCTTGAGAACAATTTCCGAAATTATTGTCTTGTTCGGACATTTATAGAACACAACAACTCATATATAATCAATGCTCTAGGGAGTGTTTTAAAACAACCCCGTCTTCTCCCAAGAGACTTTCTTTGAATAATACTGCGCATTGTAAATTACATCTCGGCTAAGTATGAATTATTAATGTTTAGTGTATTATTATTTGATATTCTATATGTCAAGGATTTAGTCAGAATATCATAAATAATGATATAGGTACCTACATACATAAGTTTTCTATTAAATCACGAACATTATGTAGTAAAGTTTTTCAACTGTCTAATTATTATTTGGTAATTAATAATTATAACTACAATAGAAAAGTGGATTGATTAACTTATAAATTTATACAAGAATATATTGATAACGGCTAAATACTTTTTGCTGGAAAGGTGCAAGTAAAAATCACCTATATAGTACACATTATATGTAATATGTATACATATACAGTATACACTATACACATATTTTTAGACCAATCAAATTAGTAAATAAACCATCATATATAAACCATTTACTATTATTTTAATTTAAGTCTATACATTAATTAACTAAGTATATAATAAAGAAACATAACACTTTTATTTAATTCGAAATTTATCAGCTTATACAAACACAACCACTTTAAAATACGAAAAAAGGATATAAATCTTAATCAGTTAATAGAGAACTAAGTATTTTAGAATTATGAACATTATTAAACTTATATTATTACTTTAATAAGCTATTTACCATAGTCTGTGTTTAGACATAAACACCATTCTATTATTTCTAATCTTAACATAGTTTATGTTTTAGTTATATTTTGTATGACATAAAAAATTCATCCTTGTATAATGCATCTATTAGGTAATAATTAAGTGACAACGCTTCAATTACGACCGTGGAAATCGAATGACTATTTTTACGGTACTAGAAATGTATAAAATATATTTCAGTTAAAGCAGTTAGATCACACTATAGTTAGAAAAATTAGGAGCATTTAAATTTTTTAAATATAATTTTTAAAATAGATAACTGAAAATTGTTTATTATTTTGAAATAACGAGTTGTTAAACTGAGAATATTTGTTAAACTATTATCTTTAACGGTTTTTAATAGTACCTATGCACGAATGTAAATTAATGTATGAGTGTTATATTTTTATTTAGGCATTTCTTCCTGAAATTTTTTTACAGCATATATTTGTTGTCTTTTTAAAGTTATTATAGCATTAAGTGCTGAGAATATAATACGGCACTGACTTGTGCTATGGTAAACGAAGTGTGACTGTAACCTGTCCAAGCATTTTTAAGAATGCATAAACTATTTTATACAAAAGAATTTTAGAGTGTAGGTTTACGACAACTTTTTATTTCAAACATGTTTTCTAGCAACCTCTCTTCCTGTCTCCAACTCTAATATTTTCAATGTATACTTTTCCATATGTTTAGTAAAATATGTACTTTTCACCTGTTTCAGTTACCTATCATAAAAAACATATTTCACTATACGCGTAAAATGTGGTATTAAAAATAAAAATAAATAAAAGTTAAAAGATCCTACATATATAAAGCCATACCAGTTATTATAAATTCGTTTTTTTAATGCATTATAACTTTAATCCTTTTGTATGGATTAAAAATAAATTTAATTAAAATAATTTGAAATGAGTCTCTGACGTTTGTCATATCACATAGTTTTTATGAAATATTATGTCCATAATTGTTTGCATCAACTATAATAATCACAAATATACATATAATATTCTCAATTACGTCAATAAAATAGTGGACGACAACATGCAGACCATTCATAAATATATATATATATATATATTATAGAGACGAACGTGGACTTTTTACCGTGTGGGAGGGTACGATTAAGTACGTGTGGCAAGGTTTTGTATACGAGAACTATATAGTGGAACCGTTTGTAGCTGGCATTCAGAATACGTCACTGACTAAAGCCAAACACCGCGACACACCAACTACCAAGGGGCAAGCAATACATTTTCAAACTTCAAACAATATATATTATATAAATTAAAACATTCAAACACATTTCTTGCCGATCTTTGAACGTTAAAAAAGGTGTAATATATTTGTATGTATCTATGTATAAAAAAAAGTTCTGCCTTAACAATATAATATTTTAATACTGCGTGATATTCTATTATACAACCTAAAATTTAAATAACCGAGAAGAATGAAAACAATAAACACAAACATAAAAGTGGGTCAGTCGTCGTCTATTTATAGAGAATCGTTCCGATCGCGTGCACAATATAGCTAATAATAAAATGGATGAGATAATTCAACTACGGTTGTCCGTACGACGGATAGCTCGCGCCAGTTTTCGTCGAACCGTGGTTCGTACGGATGCCGACGACGACGACGAGACGACGAGGGGGAAAACGCCGAAAGAACGGCGGTGGCGGCCTCCGAGAAAATATTATAAAGTCTGCAGCTTTTTTCCTCCACCTCGACGACGGCGGCGATTCAATTAGATTTCCTCTGCACCGCCGCCGTTATCATATGTATTATTATATAGACCCGAAACGCACCATACTATCATCAATCACATCACTCTGTTGCCGGTGAATATAATGTGTGTGTGTGTACGTGTGCGCCGAGTGGCACCACCCGACGAAAGCGTTTTCGGTTCGAGGTGGTGGAAAAAACAGGTCGGCAAACGATTTTTTTTCTTCTTGTTAGAACCACGTCAACGACTAACTATACACGACTACGCGACACACGAATCCGGGGATGTAATCTTAGATATTATACGTACAACCCGTCTTATTATATACGTATAGCACTTGCTCAACATGTATCGTTGACATTTTTCTCTCTCACCAATAGTATATTATTGTATCTGAATAGATGATTTTTTTTATATACATATGTATGTCAACGCGTCTATTGTTCGATAGAAGGTAGGGGGTACTAAATTGGACACTTTTCTACCTTTTTGGACACGCGTTTGAGGAAATTGTATGACGAATATTTGTTCTCAGTCGAAAGGATAATAGTGCGCGGTTTTAAGTACAACGATATGATTGATTGGCTTTCTTACAAAATAGTTAGGAATTAAATTATGTAAATCGCAGGGTGTTATTCAACGTAAGCGTTTAAAATTGTTTACTCTTGTGTGCCGATGAAAATGGGTTCCGCTCCGAACATAAAGTTGAAATACGTAGACGTACCCATATCATAAATATTATGCCTATACCAATCGTGTGTACATCATAAATGTTGTTAAAGACGATTAAAATAAATTAGTATTTTTTAATTAATTATATTAGTACATAATATTATTGTTTGGTTACGAAATATGATATTATATAACAATAGAAATAAGCACCTGTTCAGATAACGCAACACAATATAGTAATAATACCTAAGCTGAAATTTATAATTTATAAAATAAGTCACCTTTATGTATACTTGTATAGTTGTATAATTATAATATAGTAACACATGATACGAACTAGCTTTCAAATTAACTTAACAATTACATCGCTTTATGTGTGTAAAAAAATTCTACAATAACATACATAATATTTTCTCTTTTTTAATTTTAATCTATTATTATATTTTTATTACCAGTTCTTTGGGTCGCAATACACATAGGTACATACACAGTTTTATTACGTTGCCACAGTCGGTGGTATACAATTTTGCCGTTTTTGCCTCTATCATACCGAGTCTCACACATCTTTTGAACATGTTTACTGTGAAATTAATTTTTCCCAAGGCAAGTATAAAAAAAGGCCCATTATTTTAACAAGGTTAATTGTATACGTTTTCCCTTCTACTTCGCTACACACTGCACAGAACGACGTAAATTTGTTATTATTTTTTAAAACGTTCCACAAGTTTCAAATAGGTACTACCTAGGCATAGAATACACTTTATATGCCAGTCATGATGTCAGTCCGTCCCAAATTTCGTCGCTATAGTAACTATAGTAACGGTGTTGATGATTTCATAAATTATAATTTTGGCTTACACACTTCTTATTATAATGGTACTATTGACATAAACTAAATTACATATTTTAACATTAATCATAGTCTATATTTACCAAATTCGTAGCGAAAAAAAACTGAGTTATATAGAATGCTCGACATTGTGATTTTCTTACTTTTTATTTTATAATATAATTTTGGAATTTTTTTTAGTGGTTTTATGAAAATGTTGTTTAAAAGTAAAACATATTTAAAAAAAAAAATCATATACCTAACTATTTAATTACAAAAATATAAAGACGCATTAAAAATATTGTGATAAACTATCTGCATCTTAAATAAAAATGGTATTTATTATAATCTCATACCTATAAGTTTAATAAATATATGTTTTTTCATACATTTATAATTTTATATTTTTAAACTAAACCACATAGAAATAATTGATGATATATACTCGTATGGCACAAATTATAGAACTTAAATTAGTACTACAATTTTAAATAAAATGAGGACAAACAATAATAGTTTAAAAATATTTTACGTTTACAGAAATAATTAGATAATAGTGTATCGAAAATATCATTTTATCAATAGAATAAAAATTAACATTTGAAAAGAAAATATTAAAACTGATTAAGGAATAAT